ATTTCACGCAACAGTCCAGTTCATCCTGTAGTCTGCTACGGATAATCTCGGGTCGTCGATGCTTAGCGGCGATAGCAATGTCATCTGCATATAGGGCCAGCATTGTGTGAGCTGTCTTCGGTACGTCATGAGTATAGATGTTGTAGAGCAGGGGGGACTGAGGCTGACTCCTGGAGCACGCCTGCTACCAGCTGTCGTCGTGTTGAATGGCATGTACCAATCCTCACCGCGAACCGTCTTGTGTTAGATAGCTCTGGATCAGTTGGCACATGTTGCACTCGGCGGTCCTGGCTGCTCTAGGACTCGTCTTGGGTGGCGGCAGCTGGCATCTTTGGCTGCCTTGGCGTCTCGTCTTCGGAGGAGGAAATTCGCACCCGCTTTTTTTTTCCGTCTGGTGGCGACACTGAAATCGGTGTCGTCGTTGCTTGCTGTCTCTGTCGTGGTCCTATCCTCTTCGGTCCGTTGGGTGTCCTCTTCTTGAGCGTCCATCTCGTCCGACGTAGCCTGGTGGGTCCTCTGCCTCGCCTTCTTCGGTCTTCTTTGCGGCCTTCTTCGTGGCCCTGCGGAGCTTCCCGTTCAGGTCCTCGATCTCCTGTGTGCTTGCAAGAAGGCTTCTTGCAGGTTTCGCATCTGCTCTGCCAGCATGGCGACAGCATCTTTCTTCTCTTTCAGCTGGTTAGCCAGCTTCTCAATTTTCGCCATCGTAAATGACAAACAACCAATCTATCGCAATAAGATTGCTCAATATGTCCGGGTGTGTCGCAGTCGTGCAAGTATACACTCGCAACGGCTGCTAGCTCGGAACTGATGTTGCGCGCACACACACCACACACCCTCCTACCCTGTGGCGTCCCTCACCACCCCTGTTCCAGGCAACCTCATACCCTTGAGGAGTGGGGGGAAGAGCAATGTGTGAGACAGGAGAGAGAGGGGGGGGGGGGGAGAGGGAGAGTTAACGTGATTGTCGTATAGACACTAGCGGCATTGTATGTAAAATTGCGTTGGATAAAGTTCTACTATCATTCCGACAGTACCTCTAGAAGTAACTATCCCTCCAAGGTATCTCCATATAGTCGAGCTCCACAACCATCGATGCTAGGTAAACATAAAATGTTACGGTAAGTAAGAATTGGTATTATTTGTTGCATTTTCCATGTCACGATCCCGTATCGTAGAAACGTAACATCACACTGTATCATGCGGTTATTGGGCTGTTGTTACTTGAATCCCAAACAGCATGAAGGAATATCGGCAAAATATTACGTGATTTTTTTTTTGTTTCCTGATCCGATGATCTCTATTTTTTCTTCAACAAACGAATTGTGTGGCCCTGAGAAGGGCCGATTTCTAGTTTTGACGTTATTTTCTTATTATTATTATTATTTAGGCTTTCTTCCTGTCTTTTTCGGCAATAGGACAGCCTGAATATTCGGAAGAACTCCGCCTTGGGCGATAGTTACGCCGGAAAGTAACTTGTTTAATTCTTCATCATTCCTGATTGCTAACTGCAGATGACGTGGAATGATCCTGGTTTTTTTATTGTCGCGAGCAGCGTTGCCGGCCAACTCTAACACTTCGGCTGCCAAGTACTCCATAACGGCGGCAAGGTACACAGGAGCTCCGGCACCGACGCGTTCGGCATAGTTTCCTTTACGCAATAATCTGTGTATACGACCTACAGGGAATTGCAAACCGGCCCTACTAGACCTGGATTTTGCCTTTCCTTTCACTTTTCCGCCTTTTCCTCGTCCGGACATGTTTATTTGTTTTTATTTTCTTTTTTGACTTGCGAATCGACGACTACAATCTGCTGTCGTTGACCGAATTAATAGAATAGAATGGCAATGTTTTTTTTTTTTTTTTTTTTTTTTTTTTTTAACGAGGGGGGAATGCATTTACGCACCATACCATAGCACGAGCTACGACGTGTGTGGGGCTCCAGGGTCTTGAAGAGATCACCTAATACCCACTAAACCCTAAACCTCCGCGTGGCCCGACTCATCAGCGTCTCGGTAGGCCATGTGTTGTGCGTGACCTGCGGTCTGCTACAACGTCTCCTCATGTGTTTCAGTCTCTGGGAACGCCGGGTTGGTTCCCTTTACCTCGCACATTCTATCGATGTCGTTAAGCGATCATCGATAGAGGGTCTGCTAGTTTCTCTTGAAACTCTTGTTTTCGAAAAATCAAGAGTTTCAAGTCATCTTACCAATATGTTGTTCCTGGTCCTGGTCCTGAAGGGTCCTGGTCCTGGTGGGTCCTGGTCGTGGCGGGTCCTGGTTGGTCCTGGTCCCGGTGGTTCCTGGTCCTCTGCATCCACGCCGTGGGGGGGGGGGAGCAGCCGCAAATTCTCCTAGTCTCCTAGTCAAGGTTCCAGTTAGCGGGTGCCAACTGGGACCTTGGTCTGGGGTACCTGGTTCTGCGGTTGCGAGGCCTCTCGTCCGGATCGTAGTCCATGAGGAATCGTAGCTGCTCGTTCGGGTGGTCCTGAGCTTTCTCGAAGGTCTTCTCCGCTTTTTTCCTCATGTACTCGTGGATGGTATCCCAATGCAGGTCTCTACGCAAGGTTGAGTTCCTTACGTAGGAAGGTGCATTGGTGGCGATCCGGAGTAGCTTCATCTCTAGAGCACGAAGTCGCTTGCGGTAGCTGGGGGCAGCGTACCCCCAGAACCGCTGGAGGCGTAAGCGAGCTGAGGTCTGGCGATGGCCTTGATCAGCCGTAGCTTGGTCGCTAGCGGCATCTGGCTGTGTCTACCCAGTAATGGATAGAGTTGAGCCATGGCTGCTCTGGTTTTTGCGATGACAGCTTCTATGTGGCGCTTTCCAGGTGAGGGACTTGTCAAAAACGATCCCCAGATATTTGAACATTGTCGCTCCACTGGATATCTTCATCGAAGATGGATGCTTCGAGAGGTCTTGCAATCCTTCTTCGTTGAAATGAAGATTGCCTGCGTCTTCTGGACGTTGATGCGGATTTTCCATTTCACGCACCAGTCCTGAATTTGGTCCAGTTCACCCTGTAGTCTCCTACGGATGATCTCGGGTCGTCTATGCTTGGCGGCTATAGCAGTGTCGTCTGCATATAGGGCCAGCATTGTGTCAGCTGTCTTCGGCACATCGTAAGTATAGATGTTGTAGAGCAGGGGGGCTAAGGCTGACCCCTGGGGGCACGCCTGCTTCCAGCTGACGTCTTGTTGAATGGCATGTACCAATCTTCACCGTGAACCATCTTTGTGTTAGATAGCTCTGGATCAGTTGGCACATGTTCGCATCGATTCCGGCGGCTTCCATTTTGGCGATGAGTCCATCGTGCCAAACTCGGTCGAAGGCTCGTTCCACGTCCAGCAGGACGAGACCGGTTGCCTCCTGGAGATTGAAGCCGCTGGTGATGTTTTCCGTCAGTCGTAGCGCTTGGAGTTCCGTGTTGTGGGAGGATCTGAAGCCGAATTGCTCTGGGGGGAGAAGTTGCAGTTCTTCTGCCTGCTTCTCTAGTCGAACGGCGATAGCCTTTTCGACTACTTTGCCCACCGAGGAAACCAGGCTGATGGGCCGGTAGTTCTGGGGCAACTTCCGGTCCTTGCCTGGCTTGGTGAGGCATTATAACCTGGGCTTCCCGCCACCAGCCGCGGGGAAGTGGTTAAGTCTCAGAGTGGCATTGGCGATGTTGGTGAGCGCAGCAATGCCTTTGGTGGGAAGGTTCTTCAGCATCCTATTGTTGATGCCGTCCCTTCCCGGCGCCTTTCTGACCTTCAACCTGCGGATGATCAGACGGATTTCCTCTGGACTGGAGGGGTGATCCGTCTCCTGGCCAGGTGGTCGACTCCTCATGTTTTTCGGCTGCGACTTCCACGGCCTCCTCGTGGTTGTCGTCCTCGTCTTCATGGTAATTGAGTCTGCATTCGGATTCTAGCGAATCGGCGAATGCTTCGGCTTTTTCTTCACTGGAGTAGGCCAAGCCGCGTTGGCCGTGAAGAGTGGGGATCGTGGTGCGCTGACGACGAAATTTTCGCTGCATAGACCAGGCCGTACCATCCTGGGTCTCTAGTTCTGCACAGGCTGCATTCCATCTGTTGTTTTGGAGTTCCGCGAGTGCGTTCTTCAGAGCTAACGATGCTCTGTTTTCGCGCAACTCTCGACTCCTCTGTCAACAGCTGGAGATGTTCTCGCTTGAGTGCTTCTGTTCTCCCTGATCAGGTGCCTAATATGGTGCGGTGCTGGACCATTTAGGTATCTAGGAACTGCCCGTAGTCTCGGAGCGGGTGCTGTCCTCGTGCGCTCGCAGGACAGCATTCTCCAGCTCCTCTACTGCGTTGTCCAGTTCCTCCGCTGATCGGATGGTTGGAATTTGAGTGATGTTTCCTCTGGACGTTGGATTTGTAAAGGTTCCAGTTCGTCCGTTTGGTGCTCAAGCTATCTCGAGTTCTAGACCCTGTACCAAAGTGTTAGTAGAATCGGATTGTGGTCCGACGATCCTTCCACCAGGGTCTCTATCTCGAACTCCTCTCTGATGTTGCGGAGGATGGCTATGTCCAGTACCGCAGGGTCGCCCAAGGCCGAATGGAATGTAGGTTGGTTGCTCCGGGCCGACGATGACCCCCGCCAGGGCATCGACGTGTTTCCTGGAGCTGCCTTGCATTCCTGTCTTCGACGTTGTTGTTCCAAGCCGGAGACTTGCAGTTAGATTCTCCGATGACTATGCGTGCTCCTGGGCCTCTCAGGAGGTCAGCGATGTCATCTTCGTCTAGGGCCTCCCCTGGTGGCACATATAGGGAGGTGATTCTGTAGGGACGGTGTTGTGATGGACCTGGACCGTGATTCCGTCCCCATTTATGTCTGCGGCATCGTCGAGGACATGACTCGTCAAGGTACGTTTGACGAGTAATGCGACTCCTCCACCTCTGCCCCTTCTGTCGTAGCGGTACGTCTCGTACCGCGGGAACGTCAGACTATGGGCAGCATCCAACTTCGTTCTTGGATGGCCATCACCTCTGGTTGGTACTGGTCTAGTATCTCCTGGATTTCTGGTTTCCGTGCCCTGAAACCGTTGATGTTCCAGGAGATAATGCGAAGGATTCTACGTTTTGACCTGTAGACATTTCGGGTCTAGTGCTTGTCTTGCATCTTGGCCTCGAGTGCATCAGGCGGGTTATTATGGCTTGCATCATTGCTAGCAGTCTGTCATCGCCGTGTTGCTTCTGCGCAGTAGTTCCAGTAGCAGTGGCGGCTGCTGGGGCAGAAGTGGACATAGGCTTCTTCACTTTTTGGGCGTAAGAAGTCCTATTTGTGGTGGGGACTGCTTTGGGGGCAGAAGCAGCTTTCTTCGGCGCCTTACTACATCCCTTGTAGTTGGCGGGGTGGCCTTCTCCACAGAGGCAACACTTGGCGTTTCGTTGCCCTGTTGGCGGGCGCTGGCAGACTGCAGCTTGTGCTGTTTTGGTCCTCTCCACATTTAACGCACCGTTCAGCGAGACGGCAGTTCCGCTGTGTGTGCCCGTACCGCTGGCAGCGGTAGCACTGGCTGGGCTCGGAAGACTTTTTCTTCTCTCGAAGCTGACCGTGAGCATGGCCAGCCTCTGGATCTCTGCAAGCTTTTCCGGCATCTTCGTCTTGACGAGGAAGAGCGGAAGTGGCTTCTTTGTGGTCCTTGAGGTCAGCTGCTGAACCACGGCGTCTGCGATGCCTTGGCTCACCAGATCCTCTTTGATGTCATTGACTGACATCTCTCTCGGAAGCCCACGAATGACCCTCTGGTCCATCCTGTCCTCCTTCAGTTGATATGTGAAGAAGGGCCGCTTGATGGATTCAAGCAGTGCGACTAGCTGACGGTAGTCAGCTGGTGTATTTGTGAATACCTTCACACTGGTACCCGCCGTCCTCGCTTTGGAGAATTGAATCCCCTTGCTGTTCATCATCCTACTCAAGGATGACCACTCAGCGGTGCCCTCGATGTTGATTGGCGGAACTCCTGTTCCTGCCATGGGGGCCTCGGTGGTCCTGGTTGCTCTAGGACCACTCTTCTTTGTGGCAGCTGGCATCTTTCGCTGCCTGGGTTCTTCTTCTTCTTCTTCGGAGGAAACTCGCACCCGCTTCCTCCGTCTGGTGGCGACACTGAAGTCGGTGTCGTCCGTCCTCTTCTCCGCTTCTTCTACGTCGATATCTTGGGCATCCATGTCCAAGTTCTCCGTAGGCTGCTGGTCCTCCTCTCCCTGGTCCTCTCCTTCTACATCTTCCTCCGTCTTCTTAGCTTTTCTCTTTGCTTTGAGGAGCTTCCTTTTCACCTCATCGATATCATTCCTCGCCTTCTCGAATGCGGCTTGCAGATTTTTCATCTGCTCAGCGAGCATTTCGAAGTTCTCCTCTTTCTCCTTAAGCTGGCTCGCCAGCTTTTCGATCTCGCCATCGTGGATGGCGATCGTACCGCGATGAAAATCACAGTAGGATCGCACTGTATGTCCGGGTGGGTCGCAGTCGCACGAGTGTATGCTCGTGACGGCTGCTAGCTCGGAACTGACGGGATGAACGGGGGATATGATTGCTGATTATAATCCACTTGGCAGTTTGGTTGACGCAACGGAACGATGGCAATGTCTTTAGGTACGAGTATATTTATATAACTACTCCGACCAATCACCGTTTTCGTTTGTCGGTCACCCGTAAGGGGCGGAGTCTATGTCGGTAACGTCGTGGCTGTTAAAGCTCGCCGTTTATCCGCACACCTTTCCATTATAGATCACGATATTGTGTCAGTAAAGATCGTACTTTTTGTGTAAATCGAAACGCGATGCCACCCAAAACTAGCGGTAAAGCAGCTAAAAAGGCCGGTAAGGCTCAAAAAAATATTTCCAGTCTGATAAGAAAAAGAAACGCAGGAGGAAGGAAAGCTACGCAATTACATCTACAAAGTGCTGAAGCAGGTACATCCAGATACCGGTATTTCCAGCAAAGCGATGAGCATCATGAAACAGCTTCGTCAACGATATTTTCGAACGTATCGCAGCGGAAGCATCCCGATTGGCACTTACAACAAACGTGCCACGATAACTAGCAGAGAAATTCAAACAGCCGTTCGACTATTGCTACCAGGAGAATTGGCCAAGCACGCCGTCAGCGAAGGTACCAAAGCCGTAACCAAGTACACCAGTTCGAAGTAATATGTAACTACGACGACAACAACAACATCAACAACAACTTACAACATAAAAACGGTTCTTTCGAAACCACTAAAGTTATCAGTAAAGATAATGATATCACCGTACGCGCAACAAATATAATTATTGGTACTTGAATACAGATGATTATTCGTGATATACATACACCACTAAAGCAATAACGTCTGATATAGACCCGACCGGATTATTTAATGGTAAACGAAAGCGTAAAAAAAGGGGATATCCTTCCGACGCAATCGACTGTTTAACGTTCATTCGTTTAAATTAAACACAATAACATACTTATTGATACCTTAAAGCAAATATCGAATGGTGACGACGCCTAACATTACCACTTGCTATAAATACCTAATCGTAAACGAATAATACTCGAATTTAATAAAAGAAAAAAAAAAAAAAAACATCAACGCACGTACGAGCCGCAGTTGTACATGTATATTTCGATACAAAATTGCTAATTCGTAAATATTCTGTATCCTTTTTATAGTAATAGTGGTGGCCCTGAAAAGGGCCATTTTCAATCCGCGGGGACGTATAGCATCCTCTCGCATAAATATAACGTCTCGAACCGACGTAGCCGTAATCTACGACGTTGCAACACGTCTAAATTTTTTTTTTTATTTCTTCTTTTTGGGTGAAGCGGCCTTCCTTTTTGGCGATGTTGCAGCCTTCGCCGTTTTCGGTTTTGGTGCTTTGGCTTCTTGGTCGGAGCTCCCTTGCTGGATTTCTTTCGCCTTCGAAGGAGATTTTTTTGCAGCCGCTGCAGAAGGTGCAGCAGAAGAAGCTTAGCCGACGTCGCCGATTTCCCACTTTTCTTTGTCTTAGCTGGAGAAGCTTTCTTCTCGGCCGCACCACCGGCCACCGCCGGTTTCTTAGCCTTCGGAGATGCCTTCTTCGCAGATTTCGCACCGCTAGCTCTCTTAGCTACGGTTCCGCTCCTTTGAGCCGGTCGCGGATTTCTCTTCTTTTCGCCAACCTTTGCGGCTGACGATGATGAAGTTTTCGACGCTCCGCCAGCCGATGACGAAGCTAGCTTGAACGATCCGGAAGCTCCTTTGCCTTTCGTCTGTACTAAAGCTCCAGACGCGACGGACGATTTTAAGTACCTCTTGATGAAAGGCGCAACTTTCTCACGTCTACTTTGAATTAGCGGCTATGTATTTCTTGATAGCTTGCAGAGACGACCCGCCACGCTCTTTTAATCCTTTAATTGCGTTGATGACCATTTCGCTAGTAGGAGGATGAGACGGCTTCGCCCTCGGATTCTTCGGTTTTTTCTCCTTTTTCGCAGACGACTGCGACGTCGGCGACGCAGAATTCGCGGTAGCCGTAGCCGACGCGGCGTAATTCTGGTTTTCCGTATCTGCCATGTTTACGAGTCGTGAAGAGGAGACAGATTATGTATACGCGCGATCTTTTGCAATCACTGATCGACGATCTCGCTAAGAGAACGAATGTCGAGAATGTGAGAGGTAAATTCAGCGTCGTGACCCAAGTCATTTCGGTCGGACCGAACATTGAACGCTCCGACTTTGCAGCGAAACCGATTTCGACGGCTTCAATTCTGCCAAGCCTGCGGTCGTATCTGTTGGTTTTTTGAGTCGCTGATATAATTGCATACGAGGCAACAGCTAAAACCTGAACGAATATGAAATCTGCATAATTTGAAATACACATTTAACTTCGCGACTTGATCACGTACGCTACGTACACGATAAATTATAAGGTGAAACGTGCAAGGTATCCGCTTTGGACCTAATCGTCCGGCTTTTTGATCTAATTTATATTATACGAATACGTTATATAATTAGATATTTCATGAAATTAACAATCTACGACTATTCGTAATACAATTATACTGTCGGTATACGGCTAATGGATAAGGTATTTTAGATAATCGCAATTATACGGAGGTATGTCTGGCGTACATCCGAACGTGCACAGTCGCGAAATATATCGCGATAATTTTAACATTACTCCTGTAATATGACAAAATAGATAATAATATGAGACATCAATCTATTATTCGTAATAATAAGCCAGAGTAGAAAAATATTATATAATATACGAGCGATCGAGTTATAAATTCATCTCTTACTACATATTAATTATGACGTACGCATTACTGACTTTTGATCTACGTGAAAGTACCTAATGTTACGTATTACACGCTAACACCTGCCTAAACGCCTAAGCAATATACGGCAAAATATCATATATGTCGAATTATCTACATTATAATCACATGCTACTTATAAGTTATTTACTTCCATACACATACATACAATTCGTACGTTATTAGAATAATATCAAGTAACGGTTTACTACAAAGCACCACAATCCTTCGATATAGGATAACGGGTAATAACTAGCGACTTCGTATAACCATTTAGCGCTATTTTGCATACACGATAATAGTGTCGAAATTGCACGCGTACAAACAACAATCTGATATACTTAACATAATACAACGATCCCCTTTTCTGAACATACTATATGATGGTTCTGAAAAAACCGTTTTTTTTTTTATAACCTATTATCGCACGCCGTACTCTCTCTCCTCTCCTCTCTCTCTCTTTCCGGCAAATAGTAAATCCGTCAATTCATTAGGCACGTTCGCCCCTAATACGTCTTGCCAGCTGTATATCTTTCGGCATGATCGTTACTCGCTTAGCGTGGATCGCGCACAAGTTCGTATCCTCGAATAGTCCGACCAGGTACGCTTCGCTAGCTTCTTGGAGTGCCATTACAGCAGAACTTTGG